AAATAATTTAAGGAAAGAGGCACTATGGCGACTACTATTATGTTAGATTATCTTGGTGGTGAAACACAATGATGCTTGAATTGCTCGGTCCTGCCCTGTGTTGTTCTATTACAATGTCCTCTCTTATCTCAATCTCCGCCCCTTTTTTAAAAATTAATCTATTTTCTCTCATTTTTTTAATTAAGGGAAAACTAAATTAAAAATAACGGGACATATTATAGTAACTTTTTTGTTGTCCTATTAACCTGACTTGAACCCCAGTATTGCTCTCCCCATCTTGTTCTGTCTGATTATTATATATTCTACTTTGTTTGATAGTATCAAATTTGAGGGTATAGGCAATCACTTTGAAGGCAATAAGATATACTATGATGCCCAATATGGATTGACTATTATCCTTTTTTTGAAGTCCTGTAAGGTCCTCAGTGTAGGTTTTATTGGTTTTGTTCTGTACTGTTTTGATCAATTCTATTATACCTGATGATATAGACAACTCAATTTAAAAATAGCAAGAGGCACAATGGTAACCACTTTTGATCACCTGGTATTCTATTTTTTTTTAACCTCAGCTTGTAAGAATGGATTTTTTTTTTTAACCATGGTATTCTATTTTTGCATCATGTGCTATGCCCACCCTTCTATTCTAACTGACTCTGTTTTGCTTAGTCACATTTAGTTTTATTCTCTTCAAAAAAGTAATAAGAACCATGGGAGTAATAAACTCTAAAAGTCTAATTGTTACTGTAAAAAAGAGAGGAAAAAGTAAGATGGACTTAAGGGATATAACCGCAGGTATGTTCGAGTGTGTAAGATAGAAAAACCATATAACTGAGCTTTTGTTGGATCACTGAATGAAACTGTCTCCAATTTCACTGTATGAATGTCCATTTTATATGCTTTAATTTAGTGATATGGACAACTGTTTCTGGGAAGATAATATGTAACCTATTAACTGGTGATTTCGTACTATATATATTTTTTCTTGAAATACTGTATTATTTGTACCCTTTTACTGCATTTTTTATGTCCTTTATTTTTTTCTTCTCTCTTTAAATAAAAAAAAAAAGAAATCACCAGTTAACAGGTTACATATTATCTTCCCAAGAACAGTTGTCCATCTCCTTCTGGAAGGACCAACCATTCAAATAAAGACATACTCCTCCTTAAACCCTGCCACCTTTCTTCCATAAAAGGAGGAAATCAAGACCAAAAGGCATGACTGGGAACAGGTAACTCTCCATACATACTCGGCCAGAGAAGACTTGTTAGACACATCCCTTCCTGACTAGGCTTTGAGCCTCTTCTGTGATAGCAGCTCCTTTACGGAAAATGGGATGGGAAAGGCATGGTGTGTGGTAGTGACTCTACACCAGACGCTTAAAAATTCCTCACTTTTCCTGGGACTAGTGCTCGGTTCTAACTGACATTTCATAACTCAATGAAGGGTAAAGTCAATGTTTATACTGAAGGTGATTTTATGTGGTTAACCCCCAGTACAGGACACCTTGGTAGAGACGCCCCTGATGTTAGGAACAGAGAAATCACTCCTATTCTCATTGGCTTAACTCTACTAAAAACATGGGATGGACATCACCCAAGCAGGGTACACACACCAGAACTTTACAGAACAAAGTGTGGTTTATAACAGACTGATGTTCAATCCCTCTACAATTATATGAAAAGTTTCCAATGGAACCCCTGGCCAGATAAAGAGATGCATCCTGGGACTTGTGTGATCACAAGGCAGGAGTATCAAAATTATCAACAAACCTACAAACTTACTTCATCTGTGACAATGGTGATCTAGAAGTCTGTTTTACTGGTATGATCATTTGGCTTTTATCTAGGATTAAAGGATGTCATGCAATGCATGGAGACCTTGACTAACTACACTTAATGGGTCTTAAGTGACACCTCGACTGGTCTCTCCTGAAGATGTAAAATTAATGAGGCAAGTTGTCCTCCAAAATCAGATGCCATTAGACATCCTAATAGTTACACAAGGGGCTATTGTTCAATTGTAAAAGCCGTATGTTGAGTGTATATTCCTGATCCTTCTACTAATATCTTGAAGGCTGTTCAAGACATTAAATAACAGGTTAATGCTGTGTCAAATTCTGAAATTCCTCAGGTTTTCTCTTTACCCTCTTTGTAGGAGGCTATTATTAGCTCTTCCTGGTAAAAACTTTTGTTGGCTGTGTTCATAATAAACTTGTTGATCTTATTATTTGGCTCATGCATACTTGTTTCCTTGGCTTTATCTCCTACAGACTTAAAGCTGTGTGCCTACCCAAGACAAGAATGCCTGGCATCTATTGAGGGCCTTTATTTAGGCTCTCTGTGGAATATCTCTGGCTTCTGATCACAACTACAACTCCTTCAGCTGTAAGTGGCCCCTTCTCCTCTCGTGGCAGTTAAGGGTACCTCTTCAGGTAAGTTAGGAAGAAACATTATAGGTAGGCAGGCAGGGCTCCGCTCTTGAAGGAATCAATGCAAAAGATGAGAACACATGACACCTGTAGGTGGAGGGGCAGTGGTTGCAGGCCGGGCCTCAATACAGAGATGAAGTGACCACTACTTCCCCAAGGATGAACAATAATGATTGATATTCTAAATAGGCATCGATCACCAGATAGGGGACCAAGCCCTTGACCTACCCCTTGTTCTTTCCACGCATACTTGCTATTGACTGCTTCTCCTTGACTCAATGTTACCTAAGCAACTGTGCTCATAATCCTACTGATTGATCACAGTTTGTCCCCCTTCCACCCCATTTCATGCTTTCATACTCACCTCGTGACTCTGCTCCATAAAACTTCCTTTGAGAAGTGGGCTCATGGGCAACCCACACTCTGCACCCACTTCTGTTTCTCTTAACGTAAGCTATCTTTCCCTCAATAAACATGTCCTACTCTTAACTTCCATTGTTCCTTAAAGTTCATTCTTAGAACTTGGGGAACACAAACTCGGTGTTGGACATCTGCCAGGTTGGGAGTTAAAACATTTCCCTCTTATCATATTTGGAGGTCCTGATCTCATCCCTCTCTCAGAGACATGGGGGTGGGTTCTGGTAATGTGGGCGCTTTGTCCCTGAGACAGCAGAGCCAACTCACGGCATCCATGGACCAGAATCCTTGCTATTTCCTTCCATAAAGTCCAGCATGGAACATTTTAGATCCTTGTATTGGGTGAGTGGGGCCGCTCTTGCTCCAGACTGTCTTCTTGGCTGTAGAAAACTCCGCCCTTCCTTTCTGTCCTCCAACAGTGGACAACAGTTGGATGAGCTATTTACTTATACAAGACCAGCTGGATGACTCTCCTCAAATATAGAGCAATTACTTCCACTTTGGCTAAACCTGGCCCTATCTCCATGTAGTGATAGGTACAGAGCTGGCTAAGCCATTTCTTTTCCCCTTCAATTGGCTCTAAGCAATGTAAATAAGGCTAGCTGAAGTACTGATGCATAATCTTGAAAGCCAGGTGCCAGTCCTATTTCTTCACCTCAGTGTCTACCTCTAAATGGTTGAGCCCAGGGTGACAGAGCCACTCAAATCCAGGGCTGTCAACTAGTTTGGAGTCTCACAATAAGAGACTATGACTTCCCAAAGGGAGAAAAGGTTTGCGCACCAGACTGAAGCACCAGCCTTCAAAACATCAAATGCTGCCTCAACTGTGTTATGCAGATTGGCCTTTCTGCGTACCCTTCTCTCCATTTTGCACGCATCTTCCACCATTCTTAAGGTCACTCATCCTCTAGTTACTCCCTTCTTCACGAATTCCTAAAATCCAGGTTAGGCCGTGGGTCGTGGCCTTTGCTCCATGAACTCTCCTCTGGACCAAACTCAGGGCCACTTGGCTGACTGTAACTGTCTTATACTTTCGCCTGGTTTGCACTGGAGGTGGTGAATTGGTGTTAATTCGCCAAGGTTCCAATAGCATTTCCATGAGATTATAAACTTCCCGGACTGTAATGAGGACGGGAAAAGTGCCTCTATGCTTATGTATGCCTGGCCTTCTGTTCCTGAGGAAAGCCACCCTTGCACATCACCCCTGGGTCTTGTTTATCTTTCTCTGTCATGTTTGCCAGTCTGATCCACGTAAGGAGCAATTTTTGACTTCTCCATTCTTTGGAAAGTGCAGCAACCCAGGACAGTTACGGTAAGATGATGTCCTTGTGTTCTGCTTTTCAAGGCATCCTAGGTGATTTTTTGTTGGTTTTCACTCATTTTTTGCTAAAATGCCAGAACGACACATTGCGCGACTGCTTTTCACGTGTCTGCCATGACCTTGAGACATTTACATGGTTGATCTGTTTACATAAGGGCACTCTTCTGCGCGCTGTCCCCTGTGTGGACAGGCCACTTTGCGAGTGTGCGCTGTCAGTAATGACCCGGAGGCGAAGTGGGTCCGGAGAACCATCATCTCTCACTGGGCCTGCACCGAACCGTCGCGTACTGGGCGTCCTTCCGGGTTCTAGAGTGGGCAGCGCGGGGCGCAGGGCGGCCCAGGAACAGCGAGTGGCGCCTGTGACCTCGCCCTGCAAGGAGTCACGACCCAGGCTCCAGCAGGCCGATCCTGGTGTCGCTGTGCGGGTGCAGCTCGGGGCCCGCCCACCCCCGGAGCCCAGACACTCCTGTGCCCCCTGTCCCAGCTGATGGCACCAGCCTGGAATGCCTCTGCCCAAGAGCAGGGGCGGGTCCTGCCAGACCGGTTTTCAAGTCACCGGCCCGAGGGCTCTGGTGTAGCTGGAGGAGCGGAGAGGGGCGCCGCCAACGTGCCGGCGGCGAGCAGCTCCCGCTGCCGCTTCCCGCGGCGCCCAGGTGCACGCGCCGCGCGGCCGCGCCTGCGCCCCTGCCCCGCACCTGGCGGCGGTGCGCGCACCTGGCGGGAGTCTGCACCTGGGCGCGCGGGGCGGGGGGCGGGACCGTTGCGTCACGGGGCGGGGCCGCGGGCGCCGCAGTGCAGCACGGGGGCGGGCCTGGGCGGGGCCTAGCGCGTGACGGGGCGGGGCGCACAGGTGGGCGGGGCGGGGCGGCCGCATCCCGGTCCTCCGCCTCCGCCCTGGCCTGCGTGGGACGCGCACCTGGCGACGCCCCCGGCGCGCGGCGCTCGTTGATGCCGTTCCGGGGTGACTGGGAGCGGAGATGCTGGAGCTGCGGCACCGCGGGGGCGGCCCCGGGCCCGGGCCTGGGGTGTCGCCGCCCCGCGAGGGGGACGCCGCGGGCGGCGACCACGAAACCGAGAGCACCAGCGACAAAGTGAGGCGCGGAGGGCGGCCCCGGGCGGGACCGGGCGGCGGCGGCGGCGGCTCACCCAGAGTGGGTCGGCACCGGGCGGGCGGACGGGACCCGGGGGTGTGGGTCGGGACCGCGATCCCTGCCTGCGCCGGGCCTGGATGCGCGGCGCGGCCGCCGCAAGCTCTGCCCGCTCCGTCCCCGCGGGAGCCGGGTCGGGCGGAGCCGGGTGCCGCCGGCCGCTCCGGTGCTGGGGTCGGGCTGCAGACGCTCAGTCGGGACTGGGACCGGGCTCTGGAGCTGCCAGTCTGCCGCCGTCCGGGTTCTGTCCGTAACGACGGAGTTGCGGGTTGGGAATTGTCACGCGCGAAAGGCATTGCTGTCTCCCGGCTTCTCCCGTCCTGGCTGACGGTGCAGTTCTGCGCACAGATTCTTCCACGCGCCCTCTGCCTCCTCTCCCCTTCAGGAATAAGTGAAGCAGCTCTGCGATCCTACTCAGGGCTGGAAAAAGCCAGGTCAGGGCGTGTTTGGTGGTGCCCGGGTGCAGGTGTGAACTTTGTAAGATACGTAGGTTTAGGGCTTTATGCACTTTATGGTTTAGGAAATTGTACCGGCCATTGTTTTATAAAACCGTCTGTTAATATTTCATTTTTGTTTGAAAAGGCTCAAAACACTTTATTCTTAGAAGCATTCTTTTTTGGAAGCCAATACCTGTGTTGCCCATTGAATTACGGAAGTGAAGTGGTTTGCCCACGGTCAAATTCAGTGCTTTTTGAAATAGAATTTAAGTTTCCTAATTTCCTTCTTCTGATTTGTATAATTACTGAGATTCTCCGGCAGTGCTGATTTGGGGTAGGTTCCACTTAAAAAGCTGATGAACTTGATGTAACCCAGGTTATAAACACTTGGTAGGAACTTATCACCTAAGATCATGACACTATAAACATAACAGTGATTTTAGGGCTAGAACTCTTTAGAGGCAGTGGGGTGACACTTTCTTATCCACCTTTGATCGCTGATGGAATAAAACCCGAGAAGTCTGTGATAGAACATATGTGCCATGGAATTTCAGAAAACAACAATTTCCAGCTATTGGAGGTGGAAGTTGCAAAGCTAGAAACAGCAGGCTGAGAATAGTGTTTGTGAAAACTGCCTTGGAAACTAGACCAAAAATAGATTTAATTAGGTTGGGATTTATTTTGTTTTAGCATTGTTAAATTTTAGAATGAAGGAAATACCAGCTTGTCCGTTTGACTTCCTTACCTAGAGCAGGCTAGCAGGCTTTTTCTGGAAGCCATGAATAAAGTACTTTTGGAATTAATTTTATTTTTAACATGATAATATATTCAAACTGGAAACTCCTTCTGTGGTGTGATTCAACTCTTTAGAATTGTTGTCTCTAGTGGTCTGTGACTGGGTTACCTCTCTGCTTACTTATTTATAAGTGCTGTACTTTTGGTTTTGATTAGTACATACCCTGGGTTTTGTTTTCTGAAAGTAAACATTGCCATGTATAACCTCAGACCAGCAAAGGCACACTCAGACTGTGCTGAAGGATTGCTGTGTTTTCCAAGTTCATCACAAGGAACCTTGGCAAGCTTCAAGACATTGAACCCTTTTCTGTATCTGTCCATTCTTATCAGGGTGTGTGTTTGAATACGCCTATATTCCAGGTCAAGGGCTATTTTAAAATCAGTGTGCTCTTTAGAGACTAGTTAATATTTGGTCCTTTTGAGTGCCTTTTCTGTTCAAGTCCCAGAAAAAGCAAAAGTCTTGGGTAATTAATAAGGGAAACGGAGGAGGTGTATTATACCCTGGTATTACAGTACACTCCCATGCATTGACATTTTGTGGTCTTTTTTATAGTGGTATTATTAACATGACATTCCCATTGTTCAGGACCCATTCTTAGCAAGAGGAGAGCTGCTGTACCCCACAGAATCAATGAGTGAACAAAGTGTTTCTAACCTGCTGGGGAACTTTCCAGATTGGTTCTTACAAGCAGGAGTGAGACTCGAAAGATGACAGGGACCACCTCCTCAAGAAACACACCCCCAACCCCCAAAAATGTAGGAGTTAGATTTGTTAGACCTCTGTACGTAGAGGGCCTGGCTGGACTCTACTTGGAGAATACAGGGAGAGCTTTAAGGAGCATGTGGAAGTTGAACTTGGAATTAAATGATGTCTGGAAATTCAACCAGGCAAGAGTTGGAGTAGAGTGTTCTGGGCAAAGGGTAGAGGGACTGTGCCATGGGTTCCAGGCACAGAAAACTGACATGAGTTTGGAAAACCTGGAGCAAAACCAGTGTTTGGGAGGTGAGTATGGAAATGTGAGAACCTTGGGGGGTTAGGTCTCGGTTCCACAGACTCTGGGACACCACTGGCAGGTTTCTCCCATCACCTTGGCAATGGTCTGAAGAAAGTAGTAAAGTGAGAATGACCTGCCAAAAGGAAACCAGATAAGAGGTGTTACAAATAGTGTAGATATGAGTTGAGGCAGGCTTGTGAAACCTGGTTAGGGGCGGTGGAATGGAGCTTGAGAAAGAGGATGTGCATTTCAGATGATGGTGATAGGACCTGGTCTAGGACCTTTGTGGTAAGATTGAATAAATAACCTTTTGTCTTTTGTTTGTTTGTTTTTTTTATTTTTTATCAGTACCAGGGATCAAACTCATGACCACACACTTGCAAGGCAGGTGCTTATGCCACTGAGCTAAATCCCCAGCCCCAAGAAGAGCCTTTTGGAAGACACATTTGGGTAGCAACGAATGAGTCTTTCAGTCTTTCAGCTTAGAGAAGCCGAGCTGAATGAGGAGGCTCAAGGTGGTGGAGGTTCACGATGACCTGAGAGCTCAAGGCCAGGTGCCAGCTTTGAGTTACAGTAGAGACTGGGAGAGATCTGAGCTGTGGTCCAGGTGCCCTTGTTTAGGGAGGGGCCTGGGGTCTAAGGGAGGAGGGCAGGCTTTAGGCTGAGAAAAGTGAGAGGTGAAATTTTAGTAGGTGTTGTCAGGAGGCAGCAGTGAAAGGGAATACAGGGAGGACAGGAGATGTGAGGGAAGATTCTCTTCTCAGTGGAGGGAGGCATGTGTTACGCTTGTGTGGAAGCAGTTAGGAGAGGGTAGGAGCTGAGCAGGGTGCACAGGCAGGTGCCAGAGAGGGCAGCTGAGGTGGAGGACACAGGTGGACATATGCCTTACCCTGGAGAAGAAAGCCGGAATGGAGGTTGACTCAGAAACAGTTTGAAAGGCAGAGGTGGGAAGAGCAAAGGCCATACATTTTCTCAGTAGACACTAAGGACAGGTGTCAGGGAGCTGAAACATCTTTTCAGTGTCACTGTTAATAGAGGACATGATGAAAATGACCCAGAGGCAACCACCAGAACCATCAAACCCAATGGGATTCATGTACACAGATTTGTTGGACACCAGATTGACACATCTTGGCAGTAAGTCATAATAATTACAGCTGTAGAGTGACCTGGAGTTCACAGGCTACTTCTCATCTGTGTTTGTTTGCTCCTCATAACCATGCATGGAGGGTCTGTGCCCATGTCATAGCTGAGTGGGGGTGACGTGGACTGGGATGCTGCAGGCAGGCCAGGGAGTGAGGGGTCTGGGAAATGGGCTCCCTGTGCAGAATGGACGGGGGGGGGTTACCTTTAGAAGGGGACACCTAGACCACAGGGGACAGACTGGAAGCGAGGGCAGGGGGTGTTCCAAGATGGGGCCCTCCTGTACTTGTAGATTTGGCTTTGTAAATTTGAAACAGCTGGAGACATTTTGTGCAATTTCTCTTACAGCTATGCTAGTATGAAATAGACCTTAAGCTTTTCAGTGATTTAGACTTACAGACACATTACAAAGACAGCAGCATTCCCCCTTCCCTAAGTGGTTGCATCTTCCGTAACTGCAGTGCCTGTGTCAGAACTTAAGCGAATGGCATCATGGGTTAGACTACTACCTGCATTCACATTTTACCAGCTACAGGCATTCAGTGCTCCGAGATCCACTCATCCAAACCGTACTTTGTTTCTATAATGTCTTCACTTTGGCACACTTTGCTATGAGCTGTCTTGGCATTGCCTGTAAGTGTTACACACATTGTTCTATGAGATACTTCTAGATCTAGGCCAGTGATGGTGACCCTTTTAGAGTTTCCAGGGGCATAAATGCCCCGCTGTGGTGTGTGCGTGCTGTAGGTTCACCACCTCTGATCTAGGCCGTTGTACACTCTAGGACAGCATGTAGGCTGATAGTTTCTGATTATTGATCAACTTTTAGTCAAGTGATTTTCTTTGATTTAGCTTTGATTACTTGCCAGGGTAGGACTGAAGGGACTTTCTCCTCTCTTTTCTGAAGGTTCTGTAGTTGACGTTTTGACAGTCACCAGTATATGATGACATAAAATTTGTTACTGTGCAAAGGGCCCAAATCTTATAGCATCTCTCTCTGCACAAGAGGAAGAGACCCTGTATGCTGTCCTCAGCTGACAGGAAGCGACCTGTCTGGGGTGGGTGTAAAGTCCTGGTTTCTTCCTCCCAGGGGTGCCTGTGTCTGATGGGTATGATTCCAGGAGGACTCCTTTTAAGGAAATTCAGCGAAAGTGCCTGTTATTACATCAGTAACTGTTCTCATGTTTGAAGGAGTCAGTCTACAGAGTGGCGTATTTTAGGATGATTCCCCCCCAAAACTCTTTTCTAGCATGATTATGTAATAATACTGTATTTTGTTGTTTTTGTTTTTGTTTTTTTATTTTGGGCGGAGACGGGAGGCTGCCCTAGGGATTGAGCCCAGGGCCTCATGCTTTCTGTGCAAATGCTTCATCACTGAGCTCTACCCCAGCCTTAATAGCACCTTTCGAAAGCTACCTTTGTGTACTTCACAGCCCAAGTGACAAGACGGAGCAGAATTTACAGCTTAGTGCGGGAGAACCCTGCCTCCACAAGGCTTGGTAGTGTCCTAAAATGGGAAAACCGGGATGTGATTGAACTGAGAACTGGAAGTTTGGTTTAGGGTGTGCCCTTC